TTTCACCTTTATGCCATGAAAGCCATCCATGATTCCAGATCTGAAGGTATGCTCACTTGGGACGTCCATATCCTAAATATGAAGCTTCTTGGACCAAAAACCCAAATAAAGTGAAAATAAAGAGATCTAAGAAACTATTAAGCAAGTTAGAGACTTGATTACCAGAAAATGATGAGAATGAAAGGAAGTCTCTGGATGTATTATCTTCTCCTTGAATCCTCTAGCTTCTTCTTCTTCCACAAGCTTCAAAACACACAAAGTTCACTAAAAAATGGCTCACAAGCTCACAAATGCATTAGGGTTTCTGAAACTAGGGTTTGGGACTTGGAGGCTGGAAATGAGGCCAACAAGTAAGGATTAGGATGCTTAAATAGGGTGCAAAACCCCGGAATTAGGGTTTCATCCTGGCAGCCCTACTCATCGAGTTGAGCCTCTCAACTCGCCGAGTAGGTGACTTAAAATCCCGCGTCAAATCTGGTTTCTACTCGACGATTTTGGGGCTCCCAACTCGTCGAGTTGCTCTACAAAAGTGAATAAATTAAGATTAACTTTGTACCAGGAACCAGGCATTACATTATGTGTGTCGAAACTAAAAGTAAAAAAATACTAATTCTAAAGGAATCATGTGACTATAAGTAATTTACAGTAACAGTTTAAGTTATCATGTGCGTCTAATAGTAAACAATGGTCATGGTAAAAACAAAATATGTATGACTATGAGTAGTTTATGGTCACACTTTAATTGCTTATGTATGTCGAAACTAAAAGTAAATAATACTAATGCTAAAGGAAACATGTGACTATAACTAATTTATGGTGACAGTTTAAGTTATTGTGTGCGCTTAATAATAAAAAATAGTCATGGTAAAACAAAATATGTATGATTATTAGTAGTTTATGGTCACACTGTAATTGCTTATGTATCTTATTAAAAATAAACATTACTAATGTTAAAGGAAACAACATGTTAGTCATTGTTTAATAATAATAATATAAAGTACAATTATAAGTAATTTAAGTTGTTATGTGTGTCTAATAGTACACAATGATCATGCTAAAACAAAAATATGTATGACTATTAGTAGTTTATAGTCACACTTAATTGCTTATGTGTATCTAAATAAAAAGTAAACAATAGTAATGTTAAAGAAAATAACATATGACTATAAGTAAGTGATGGTCGTTGTTTAATAATAATAATAATTACGACTATAAGTAACTTTTGGTGACAGTTTTAAGTTATTATGTGTGTCTAATAGTAAAAAATGATCATGCTAAAACAAACATTACTAATGTTAAAGGAAACACCATGTGACTCTAAGTAATTTATAGTCATTTCTTAATAATAAAAAAAAAATACGACTATAAGTAATTTATGGTAACAGTATAAGTTATTATGTGTGTATAATAGTAACCAATGGTCATGATATAACAAAAATATGTATGATTGTTAGTAGTTTATAGTCACACTTAATTGCTTATGTGAGTCGAAATAAAGAGTAAACAATAGTATGTGACTATAAGCAAGTTATGGTGATTGTTTAAAAATAAAAAAATTACGACTATTAGTAATTTTTTGTGATAGTTTTAAGTTATTATGTGTGTGTCTAATAGTAAACAACGGTCATGCTAAAACAAAATATGTGTAACTATTAGTAGTAGTGTGTGGTCACACTTTAATATTAATATTAAACTGTCACCATAAATTACTTATAATCACATGTTGTTTCCTTTAGACATGTAACTATAAGTAATCTATGATGAAAGTTTAAGTTATTGTGTGCATCTAATAGTAAACAATAATAATTCTAAATCAAAAATATGTATGACTATTATTAGTTTATGGTCAAACTTTAATATTAGTATTTAACTGTCACTATAAATTACTTATAATCACATGTTGTTTCCTTTAGACATGTAACTATAAGTAATTTATAGTGACATTTTAATATTAATATTAAAGGAAAAATCATGTGACTATAAGTAATTGTTATTGTTTAAAAAAAACAACGTACAACTTTAAAATAAAAGTATTTATGATCCATTTTGAATTCTTTTTTGCAGTGGAAGAGTGAGCGGATGATGTGTTGTTGAGTGTAGAAAGAGAGAGTCGATTGAGCACATAGAGTTATGAAAAAGATAAAAGTCGTCAGGAGACATCATTACAAAAATGTGTTTTTTTTGTTTTGCATAATACATTAATGGTACATGTTAATGCTAAAATTATATACAATTTGTATGTTTAAAGAAAAGTTACAGGAAATTTACAATTAACAATATCTAACAATTTTTATTAAGAACCATTAACTTACATAGGTGGGAAACGAAACAAAAAATAAAAATACCTCTAAACTAATGGAAATGTATCATAAATCAATTTCTAAGCAGCCCCAAAAGTAGATTAAATTACAACAGACTTCAAACACTTCCAACACTAGAAAGTGGTAATACATTTATCCAAAAAATTGTCCCTAATTTCAACAAATACTAGTGAACTTTGGGGGCCAGAACATGAAATAGCCAGGTACTTCAGAGTGATGTCCAACAACAAGCCAATGAGATTTGCTTTTTGAAGTATTAACCTACTTGTTGCAACATGAACATTGCAACATCATCCCAAATCTTGCAGCATTAACATGTCTTCCACCAATAATCGAGATCATTAAACCAAACATCAACATCTACCTATAGGAAAAAAATTACCAGTTCACAACATATGATCAATTTTATAACCAATATGCAGCACGTGATTGAAAATTACCAATTAAGATCACTTGAACATTAAAACCAACAATTATTTCAATTCTCATAAAAACCAATATGTAACTGGTAAAAAAATTATGATGGATATGAAAGCCTCCAAATACAAAAGAATTAATTTCCATGATTCGAACCAGTGATTTCCACAAAACAAGTCCAATATTGAACAAGGGTATATTCGTCATTTATTAGTTAAGTCAGATGAAAGGAATTGTTGATACCGGTTTCCCACCGGTTAACATTTCCTTGTAAATGTTTTAACAAAAAATTGACCATATTACTATGTTTCAATTTAAGCATGAGTATTTTTTTTCTTTTAAAGTTTACTCAGTGGTACAAATAGATGTAAGCCTTATAGTATGAAAAGTGAAGCCTTAATACGTTTATTTCAACATATATTAACCTATGACATGGCATGCTTGAACCAAAAAACAAAAGAAAGTCATACCATAAATTTTAACATAGCATATCTGAGAAGAACTCATAAAAGTCTTCATTTGGCGTTACGTATAACTATTCCCAGTCAGTTCGAAAGTAATCATCACAGGATTCATTAAACATGTCAATTGGATCTACTTAAGGATATTGTGATTGTGAGGAAGAATTACAATACTAAATTCTATCATTATCTCAAATCAAGCACGTTGAATGAAGAATCAATTCTATATGTTGGGATTTATATGATTGACGATTTAAAGATATACAAGAAACTTATCTCCTACCTTTAAGGTAGTTGGATAGCCTAGACTAGTATATATATTCATGACCTTTGTATGTTTAAGTGTCTGAGTTATATTTTATTTTGAGACGTGAGTTCTTTGTAGAGTGTGTTTTCAGAGAACCAAGAGTGTGTCTCTAGTTCTTAATACGAATCCAGAGTCTGTTCTTTGAATCGTACCCGGAGAAAGAAAGTAATCTTTGTTTATCTTTCGTGTTTCTTATTTGATTCATACAAGAGTGTCAGTGGTTTATGAGACCAACGAGTATTTATTGTATCCCTTTTATGACTCAAAATTCATGTAATACAAAGATTTTTTTAATAAAACCTGCCAACAATTTTCTTGGCATCTCCAATCCAATATACAACATTTATTGCAACGGTTTGGTGATGAGAACACATATATTAAAAACTCACTGCTTATGTTATCTTTTTCATGCATTTCATTCATGGGTGTAGTGTACCATATTAAAAGCTACACGTAGAAAACTAATGTTGTTTTTGGCATGAATCGTATAGGAGCTTTAAGCTTTTAGCTTTTGGCAAAAAACTCCAATTTAAACAAAAATATCCGTTTGACAATACAAGCGTTTAACTTTTATTTTAAACAACACGCTCGAAATCTAAAAGCTATTTCATGTAGCGTTTAACAAAACGTTACCGTGCTTTTCAAATCAACTTTCAGAATTGCCCTTATATATGATAATATATAATATATAATATATATATATATATATATATATATATATATATATATATATATACTATCTTATAAAGAAATCACAATATTTCTGTAAATAAATTGAATATAATAATAATATTTTTTTTAAGACGTTCAAATATCTATGTTTAAAGTACAACTAATCAACGATAAATTAATATTAAATTTTATCCCAGCTTTTAATCTTTATAAATCCGATCTCTTTCCCTTAATTCCCGGTTCATTCAAAATTTGAAACGTTTTTGATACAAATACGCACACCAAGTATTCTTAAATGTGGCAATGAATCCCACTAAGAACCGGTAGTCTGGTACTTCCTTCTCCTATCTACCAAACCACCAATGCACCACCAACACCTCTTTCTTCTTCTTCTCTCTCTCTCTCTCTCTCTCTATTACTCTATCAAAGAAACCCTAACTATGGAATTTCAGCAACACCACCACCACCCGTCACTGCCACTGCCACTGAGCTACCACCACCCCCCACCCCCGATTTTCTCTGTAAGAAAGGCCTTAATCAATTGCCATTTCATGGTACGATTTCAATAGTAATCAATATTTAACGCCTCTCTCTCTCTCTCTCTCTCTCTCTCTCTCTCTCTCTATTCTTGAACGCATAGCTCTTTCTCTATCTCTATCTTCACGACCACAAAGGTCTTCAACTCTCTCTTTATGACTTTGTGTGTATCTGTTTCTGAAGTATTAGACTGAAGGTTGTTGTAGCAAAAGTTGAAGGTGCTGTTAATTTCTAGGGTGAACGAAACTTTAACAGATTTGGGGGTGGCTTGGAAAGAACTCTACCATGGGAAAGAATCATAGGCTTCTTGAAGATGCTCGTGTTCATCTTTTCGCTTATCTACAATTCTATTTGGGCAGGTAATGTATAGTTTCTTAATGAGTTAAATGAGTTTTAGTTTTCACTAAAGTGTAAACAGTTTGATGGATGATGATTTTGGTCAACTGGTGTAGGTCGACCCTGTGTCTCGATTATCTGTCTCTTGTACTTAAGCACATGAATGATCCATGAAAGACACTGCTAAAGGTACAAGTGATTTTTTTACTTTTAATTTAATAATGTTTTGGATAAATGGCAGGATGAAGGTATTGAAAAGGTTGTGGAATTTATGGATGCATACTTCATTAGTCAGGAGAATTTTGATTCACTGATGCTCATGTCCAAGTTTCAGGTAAGTGGTTTTTTATTCACGTGGGTTATAAATTTATAGTTATTATTATATGTGTAGGGGAGGCCGAATTTACTTGAGGTTATGCAACTTGCTGTGAAAGCTGCACTTATAAAGACGTACAATAAAGGAAGCAAGACATGGGTGATACGAAGAGCAGATTTGATCACACTTCCAAGCATTAAATCTTTTTTACATGATGACCTATGAATTAGAAAAATGGAATATCTACATATTGTTTATGATAATTTTAGTAAATATCCTCAATGCAGTTATTTTATATCAGATAGTCAAAGTTACTCATTTGCTTCAATTTTTTCCTTAAAAATTTTTAAAATCTGTGAAACAATCTGCAAAAAGTGCTGAACTTTTATAGCTCTTGTATGATACCCATTTGTGCTTCTTTGAGGTTTGCGATTTTTCTTTTTGCAGGTGTTTTGCTTTATAACAACAGGAGCATGTGATATCTGTGGAAGCATACGCTAGAGGGATTATATAATTTAGCTGAACTGAAGAGGATTGAACAAGAAACTCACCTCATGGAGGTTTAATCTATTATCTTTTTATGATTTCTTATACTTTTCAAACATAGAATTCATAACAAGTTAGTATGTTATATTTATTCATGCATAGCTATGTGTCCTTTGGTTTAATTTGAGTCCATTCCTAACTTGAAAATAATGTTGTGCTTAACTGCATGCAATATCAGTGACCTCCAAGAAAGATTGGATCCTCTTTCTGTTTTTATATTTTCTAATTTTGTTTTGAACAGAGTGAGTTGTATAGTTGGTTGCTAAATGTATCCTCTCAAGTAAATAGTCTACCTCTTCTAATCACAAAATGGCAAAAATAGGGAAAGGTATCTACCAAACTGCCAATTTTTTTGAATTTTTAATATTATAGTGAAATGCATGAATTTTTATAGAAATGTTTTTGTTTGACCATTTAATAAGCGAGTTTTACAGTGGTCCCATTGGCAATACATGGTCATTTGTGTAAAAGGTCGATGCACTTTTTGTTAAGTACTTTCTGCTATCTTGGTAAAAAGAAAACGAAAAAAAAATCTTTTTATAAGCTCTATACGTGTGACCATGGTTTTTTTTCCTTATATTTTGTAATTTTAGGAAATTTGTGCCATGAAATTTAATGTGTTTGTTACAACCTATATTTTCATCATGTATGATCGGTCAAAGCTTTCAAAAGTTGACTGAAAGTATATTATAATTGACAAAAACGCCCTTGATTACACTTATAGCTCTTCAGGTATGCCTCTTCATGTTTTTGCTGTTTGAGAAATACCAGATATATCTTTGGATTGATGATATTATTATTGTGTGTGTGTATCATTGTTTAGAGGCAGTTCCAGAACTATCTGAAAGTATTGATGTTTGACAAGGTATGGTGTACAAACATGATGATATTATTATTGTGGGGATTACCAAGAATGAGAAAGAAATATATAAATATTGGTTGCCTTTCTTTGTGTGTACCGAGTATTAAACCTACCCCACTTAATTCCATGTCACTAAGAAAGTCAAAAGTCAAACTGCTACATCATTAACTTTCAACCCCACTCCTTTTATTTACAATTTACCCCCTTAAATTACCCCAAAATTACCCTTTAACCCCTATTTCAATTAACTATTTTTTCTAGCAGTTGATATATTATAACAATGCCATCTATTCTTACTATGCTAAAATAACAACCAACTCCATTTTTTTGTTTACTATAGCATCGTACTTTAAAAGTTGGTTGCTATTTTAAAGTATGATGTCCTAATAGTAGATGAGTGTGTGGAAAAAATTATATCATTTTACTTTTACTATGTTTCTTTTCATGAACTTGCATTTATTCGTGTGTGTTGAGTAGGATCATTTGTGGCAATTTAGTAATTACATATCATGGGTTCATGAGCCTTACCAATTGTATCTTAATCTATTTTCAGTTGGAAGTTAAATGATATTTGAAGAGTTCTGAAGAATAACAATGTAATGATCATTCAGTTTCATTGTTGATTCCAATTAATTATGTATATGGAACCTATCCATTAATAAAAAAAAATTGATTTTGTTGTAATTTATTTTTGTATTGGTAGTTACAATTTTTATATTAAATAAACAACATAAATTAACTTGTTTTTTTAACGGTGAACTTCAATTTATGAAGCTATACGATTTAATTTAAAACAAATATAACAGTGTAACTGTTTAGAATGACATAATTATTTTTTAATCGTAAGTAGTAATTACCTAGATATAAATAAAGTAAATTTAAAGTTAAATCATATTAATTTTTTTAAATATATTAATTGTATGACGCGATTAATCAGTATAGTTAAAAATACATTTAACTCTTTTTAATTAACATCGACAAAATGTGAAACCATGTTTTTTTAAGTAATATTAATTAATGGTGCTTCTTTGACAATAAACCTAACTAAAAAAAGTAATGGCAAATAGTGATATGCATATTTTTTGAAAAAGAATAAAGTATTGTATGATTAATTGCCGATCAAACGAGTCAAAACTTCGGAATAAGTTAAGATGTTACGGTTATTTGGAGTTAACATTATGAGTGATTAATTACAATTTGTAAAGAAGTGACACAGAAATGGATTTATCAACATTTAAGGATTATAAAAACTCAAAAAATATCAATGTAAATTGGTTAACACTTAATGAATTTTACGATTTGATCTGATAGCCGCAAGGAAACTATTTAGAGAAATTAATTAATCATCGCCCATAAACAATTCGTCGCCGCTGTTTTGCGCGGGTAAACGACTAGTATATATATATATATATATAATATATATATATATATATATATATATATATTAAACAATTGTCATTTTATGTAATTTTACATATTTCAAAAGCTTCCAGCTACTTTCAGAACCGACCGGCTTATCGGTTCGATGGTTCAATTGGTCCAATCGGTTGGATCGGTCTCAAAAACTGGAAAAACCGGATGATGTCATAATTACATTATTATTAATTTTAATTATATAAAAATTACAAAAGTGAAAAAAAATATATTTTTTAAAATTCCCGGTTTTACCACAGGATAGGTTTTTAGTGGTTCGACTGGTTTTCAACGGTTCACATAACGAGCGGTTTTCGGCCTCTATGAAGCGGTTCCGAGACTGGTTCCCGTGTGAACTGACGGTCCGGTCCGGTTTTCAAAACATGGCATGCTACCTGCTTCCAGCAAATTGGTACTTTTGCCAAACACTCCCTAAATGTTTTGGCGTCAATGTTTGTAAAGAACATTATTTTTAAGGCTTGTACAATACATTCAGATAATTTAAAGCTAGAAAGTGTATAATGGCACACATGAAACAAATGATATATTTTTAAAGCATTTTTTTCTACATGATTATTCTAGAGCAATTTATTATTTTCACTTCTGGTTGCCACTGTTTTGTATTGGGTATTAATATATTATAGGATTATGCAGTTTTCGTGTTCTCTAAATATGTTGTTAGCGAGAAAGCATTCATAGTCATAGTGATTGTTTCATTCGAGGTCCCATATATGGCACCAATGATGATACATCAAGTTCTTTAATCGGTTATTCAGTTCTTGAATCTAGCTCATATGTCTGATTGGTGTGCATCATAGTTGGATTCCGACTTAGGGATGAGATTTAGAACCGGAAAACCGGACCGGAATCGGAATCGGACCGGAACCGTTAGAACCAGAATATATAGAACCGGTTCCGGTTCCGGGTTTAAAAATTGGTTTTATCCGGGTTTGAGTCCATCGGGTCCGGGTAAATCGGGTCTAAAAACCGGAACCGGTGTTAGGAACCGGAACCACTTTAAGGGCCGGAACCGGTTTTTATGAAATGTTTAAAAGATGCATATCTCATTCGTTTCAACTCCGATTGACATGCGGTTTTTTCCGAAGTATATATTCATTGATTTACAGTCCCCCAAACTCGAGATATCAAAACTAAAAGTTTTTGGTTTTTCAGTTTTTTTGTATTCTGTGAAAGTTTTAAAACATACATATCTAATTTGTTTTGAAGTCGGATTGACATGTGGTTTTTTCCAACTTGTAGTTTACAGTTTGTACATGAGTTTAGACTATAATTTTGTCATTTTTGGTTTAATATTCAATGATTTATAGACCCCGAAGTCGGGATATCAAAACTGAAAATTTTCAACTTTTCAGCTATTTGTTTTTTCCTTTTATTCTGTAAAAATGTTAACACGTGTATATCTCATTCGTTTAAAGTCGGATTGACATACGGTTTTTTCCAGAGTGTAGTTTAGAGTTTGTATATGATTTTAGACTATAATTTTGTCAAATTTGGTTTCATATTCAATGAGTTACAGTCCACCAAAGTCGGGATATCAATATGAAAATTTTCAAAGTTCAACCCACTAAATAGTAAGTAATTACCAAAAAAAATCCGGTTTCTCCGGGTTTTCCGGTTCTAAACCCACTTTATCCGGTTCCAACCTACCCACTTTGATGTTTCCGGGTTTTCCAGTTCTAGACCCACTTTACCCGGTACCGTACCCGAAACCGAACCGGAACCGGTTCCTATATGCCGGTCCGGTTTCCGGTTCTACAAAATCCCGTTAACCGGTTCCGAGTTTTCCGGGTCCGGGTTTGGACCCACTTTCATCCCTATTCCGACTATAAAACCTAAGCAACATCAATAAAGAAGATCATTAGGCGTGTCCTAAGGGTTGTGCCCCGGTAGCAAGCTCTGACGATCAAGTTAGATCGCCAGTGTAAAGAGAGCCAATTCTACTAGCGAGAGGGAGATAATTGTGTGGAGACAAAGATCTCTCCATGAGAGAGATTGAAGTGAGTGAAGAGCACTTACCGTGAATGTTTAGATGATTCTGATATTTATAGGAAGGGAAGGGAAGGCATGACAATATTACATTTCCTAGTAAGTACTAGTCTATTAATATAATATTACACCTTGTGTCCTTGCACCATCTTCCTTTACTATGCATGTATCATGGAAACTATTCCACTTTCCTATCCTTCCATCCTTCTATCCTTCCAACTTCTATCCTTATGTTTGGGAGGTCAAGGGGACAGTCCTCCATTAATTGACCTAACAGCTTCTACTAAGAAGTGCAGGTTGCCATTCATGTGCATATAACAAGCACTATCAATATATCATATTGTATCTCATTCTTCTACATAAAGTTCCTGCAAAATCATAGATATTTAGATCTTTTAGGCTCTTTGTTACGAAGAGTGCCTTTGGCCTTTGCTTTCTAAGCATATTTTTGGTTTGTCTCGGATATGATTTTTTGTACCGGATTGTAATAATTGGTAAAAATAGGTCAATGTTTTTCGGTCAAACCACCGTGAACCTTCCATATTAGGACCTATTATAAAATTGTTCTATGTTTTTTTATAAACAATTGAATTCATGTTGCTCATGCTCGCACTCATGTTACTCCAATATGCTCAAAGTTGACAATTAGTATCAAACAGAAAAACAATTCACA